AACTTAAAAAATTTAAAACGATTTCTAGAATGGAGAACGAAAGAAAGAGAATCATTGAACAGAAATCTGAAGAGTCACTCACCGGTGAGTTTGCTTTAAATTATTTGAGACTTTTTTGAATTAAAAAAAAATTCAACAAATGTCAAATCAATATCTGATTGAAGCAAGCAGTACTGATGATCAGAATGAGAATCTTTCATCGACACCGTCCACGACCGTTGACGATCAAGACTTGCTGACATTTGATGTCGAAGAAAACACGGATAGAAACACGGGTAAATCACATTAAAGTCCCACAAAAATAATCAAGTATTCTTCGCCCCGAAAAATGTTTGGAGATTTATTTTCATTTCTCTCTTTTTTGCTGCAAATTTCATACTAACTATTACTATTTAGATTACAATTACTATATAATCGATGAGGTGACAGCAAAGAACGAGGTTAAAAAAGAAAACGCAAAAGATTTAATTTTGGCTGCCATCTTAAAAGGTGAGTACAAATCGACTACTTTAAAGCGTCGGTATTGATTTTATGTTCTTCCAATCAGATGATGCAACCCAAACAAAAGCCTTAATCGAACAGTTGACGGGTAACTTCAATGGAAGTGACGATACCATCTGGCTATGCAAAGCTTCTGAACAATGTAAGTCTTAAAGCTTTTGATTCGAACTTTCCATATGAAATTGATTTTAAATGGAAGAGATACAGATTTTAAAATTTATATGTCTTATCACGTTAAGGTAAATTGAATGTGGCCAAAATGTTAATTGAAAATGGAGTTAGTGTTGAAGTCCATAAAAAAGATGAATGGCATCCACTCCACATAGCTGCATTCAATGGTAATTTTCTTTGAAAATATGATGTGATAATTACTCAAATTGAATTTGTTTTGATAGGCTGTGACGAAGTAGCCAAACTTCTTATCGAAAACGGTGCTGATCTTAATATCAAAAATGGAATTGGATACTCATCGCTTAAGATTGCGATAGAAAATGGTAAGTTTCTGTGAAATGTGCATTGAACGATATCCTTTTAATTTGATTTCTTTAACATAAATATCAAGGTCAAGATAAAATCACAGACTTACTCATTAAAAATGGGGCCAAAACTGATATTGATGATTTATGGTATACGGAGTATGTCGCACGTCATACAACAGGTAATTTTTGCTTCCGATTCTTTTTTGTTCAAATAAATTTATTCACACGTTAAATTGAGTCAACTTCGTTTGCTTGACTATTTAGAATATACGGATAGTACAACAGAGCTAGCAACAGAGAGTACTACTGAAAACGACGTGATCGAAAAATTCATCGAAACTGATAAACAAAAGGATAAAGATAATGTAAAAGATATGATTCTTGATGCCATTTCAAAGGGTAAGGTCAAATCGTCATGCAAATTAAATACTGTGCCAACATCAATTTTATTTATTTATTTTTATCAATCAGATGATGGAAAGCAGACAGAAAACCTAATTGAAGATTTGATTGCTGGTTACTTAAAAATTGCTGCCGAACAATGTAATAGTCAATACTTTTGAGCCAAACTTCTAATTCAAACATGAAGAATTGATTATTTTAAATTATCACATACAGGTAAACCAAAGGTGGCAAAAATGTTAATTCAAAACGGTGTAAATGTTAACGTTAGCTATGGAGAATGGAAATGGCGTCCACTTCACGTGACCACTTACTCCGGTAATTTGATATTGCAAATAAGAAGTATTATATGTTTGACTTACACACGATTTATTTCTTTTGTTTTGGCAGACTGTGAAGAGGTAGCCAGAATTCTTATCGAAAATGGTGCTGATATTAATGTCAAAACAGGAACTGGGTTCACAGCACTTCATCTGGCCGCGAGAAATGGTATATTTGAGTATAAATAGAATTGAATGGTAAAATGAATTTGATGTACAACATTTAGGTGGAGCTAAAATCGTAGATTTGCTCATTAAAAATGGAGCTGACACTGAAACCAAAGATTCCAATGGTTTTTCTGGATTGACCGCACTTGAATGGGCTCTAATGAGAGGTGGAATTGTCATTGGACATTTTTATATATTTAAAAGTTAGAATCAATTGAGCAACATTTATTTGTTTTACGTTTCAGGTTATGATGATGTCGTGAAAGTTTTCACCGATAACGGAGCAAACAAAGCGAAAACAGACTCTGATTACATATATTAATAATTATTACGATTATTATTAAATAACCAAACTGAGATGAATTTTCATAAAAATGTCAATCCATCAGATTTAACACCAACAACTACAAAAATAAAACACTATTTTGCAGACAATATATTGAATTAACTGGTCAGTTGAGCTGACAGTACGTTAGCCAGCTAAATGGGCGAAAACAATAGACGTTATTGTTTTAATGATGAATCACTTTTCTTGTTTTAATAGAAGTGATTGTTCATTATAACAATAATTTCTATTGTTTTAGTTCATTTAGCTAGCTAACGTACTTTCAGCTCAACTGACCAGTTAGTTCAATATATTGTATGCTATTTTGTCTATTATACATTTATTTTTTATTTATTCAGTTCCATAGCTGTCCACAAACACCAACGAACGAACCGTTCGTTCGTTTTCAATGTATATTTTCTTCG